CATCTGTTATCTTTTGCGTTAGTTCAGTAATGTCCCGTATCTTTGTTAGATACACGAAATATCTTTAACACAGCCCCATAGAAAGAAATCCAGAGGTGTGATATCTGGTGAACATGGTGGCCACGGAATTGGCCTTTGTAATAAATTTTTTAAATTGTAAAAAGACTTTATAGACACCCTGTATAATACTGATACTCTAGTAAATAATTCACATTTTTAATATAATTATGGATATACAAAAATACACTGATAATAATTTCACTGTTGTAACTAAGTTTACAAAACTATTGTTATTACAATACTGTTTAATTTTACCATATAACATTATTCATGAACTCTTTTATACCTGGAAGGTGCAGTTTGTATCTAAGGGGAAAAAATTCATCATTGAATTAAGAATATTACAGAAAATAAACATGTGGTTAATTTACCATGCATTAAAACAAATAAGATATTTCAGAGTTGAGATTTTGATTTTGGGTTGATTTCAGCTCACTCCCAATAGAATCATTAGTGTTTGTGAATTTCCTGCATTTTTACTGGGGATAAAATGGAATTTCTTAGAAGGAAAGTCATAATAGTTTAAACAAAATAGGTCCTTTTTTTCTTTTACTTGTTCATAGAATCATCTTCAAACAATTCTTTAAATCTTGCCATTATAAATTATTTTATCCCAAATTAAGACTTGATTTCCTTTATCTACCTTGTTGATCACAATATTACCATTGTTCTTCAATGAATGTAAGTGTTTTATCTGAATCTTACTTCAAATTAACTCTAAACTTACAATTCTGGTTTATTGGTTGTTCTGTTCTCACTGTATGTTTTATTCCGTCATTTCCATTAATACAATCAAATGGCATTATAAAAATTATTAACCAAAACATTTAAGCCTAGAATTAAAATTTTCAGTGACATAGTCTCATTTAACAAGTTCATTACTTTAAGGTTAGACATTAATTTAATATATATATATCCTTCACGGCCGGAACTTCATTATCTGGTTTATATCTCAAACTTTCTTTTTTATTCTTAACCAAGTTATTTGGTTTACTCCCAATTTCACCTTGTTATTCACTTTTAACTTTTCAATATTTTACTAACTGTATGAATCCAACCAGCCCTACAATACATTCTAAATATTCTTAGTGAATTTTAAATGCAAATCTTACAGCTTAGTTTCTGTTAATGCAATAACTTTTTTTTTAATGACAGTCCTAAAAATGTTATCATATGTTTGTTGGATATTAAATTTCATCTTTTTACTTTTCAGGTTGCATTTAGTTTTAATACTGTTAGGAACAAAAAAGTTTAATTGAGTAAGTTTTCTTTAATGTTGGTTTCTGAGCTGGTTAAACACTTCTTCAAATCTGAGAAGCTTCAGACATCCTAACCATAGATCTCAGGTAATTATATCAAAAGAAACTATTGTTGTACCACTCAGGAATATATATATACTGATGCCAACATGTAATAAAAAATATAATTATTGGCTGGTAATTCCTGTTTCACCCTGTACTTAATGTTTTTAAGGGAACACCAAATTTCTGTAAAAAATCTAACTTCAAGGGGTATATGATAAAGTTGTTTTCACTATAATTATGTATTTTTTTAAATTAATACTGGTTACTACATCTAAGCAATGAAGAAAGATGAACAATTTGGTGGTTTGGTATCTTAGTGGCAGTTTCTTGCCTTGTTGGGTAGAGAAACAAACGAAAATGAGTATCAATCATCTTTTAAAGTAAAACTCTCTGTCACTGTTGATTTTTAGCATGCATATTTGTATTATCCCTATTGAGTGCCTTGGCCATCCCTACATATAGTCTACTGGCTCTATGATG